ATACAAGGGCTATGAGGATACTCAAGGAACCTAGGAGAAGAATGGAGGAACTCAGTGAGAACTTAAAATGGAAAGCTAGTAAGCATTAGCAAAGGACACAGAAATCATAAAAAAATTCTAAATGAAGGCTACAATGACTGAAATGGAGAATACACTAGAAGGAATCAACAGCAGATTAAAAGAAGCAGAGAACTGAATCAGTGATTTGAAAGACAAGGTACCAAAAAACACCTAATCAGAAGAGCAAAGAGATAAAGAATTTTTTTAAATGAAGATAATTTAAGGGACTTTTAGGACAACATGAAATGTACCAATATTCACAACACTGGGGTTTCAAAAGGAGAAGAAGGAAAGCAAAATATTGAGAAACTATTTGAAAAAATAATGGCAGAAAAATTCATTAATTTGGCAAAGGAAACACAAATGCAAATCAAGGAAGTGCAGAGAGTCTCAGACAAGATAAACCCAAAGAGGCCCACACCAAGAACAGTATAATTAAAATGGCAAATGTTGAAGACAAAGAGAGAATGTTAAAAGCAGCAAAAGAAAAGCAGTTACTTGCCTACAAGGTAACTAACAAGCTCCTATAAGACTGTCAGCTGATTTCTCAACACAAATTTTGACAGCCAGAAGTGACTGGCACAAAATATTTGAAGTGACAAAAAGCAATGACCTACAAGATTACTCTAAGCAAGGGTTTCATTAAAAATTGAAGGAGAGATAAAAAGCGTTTCCCAGACAAGAAAATAACTAAAGGAATCCATCACCATCAAACTAATTATAAGAAATGCTATAGGGACTACTTTCAGAAAAAGAAAAAAACCATGAATATGAGTAATAAAATGGCAGTAACTATGTACCTATCAATAATCACTTTAAATGTAAATGGATCAAATATTCCAATCAGGAAATACAGAGTGGCTGAATGAATAAGTAAACAAGACCAATAATATGCTATCTAAAAGAAATGCACTTTAAATCAAAGAATGAAAGTAAAGAAATGGAAAAGCTATTTCATACAAATAAAAATGGGGGAAAAAGGAGACAAAACAGATTATAAAACAAAGGCTATGAAAAGAGACAGAGAAGGACACTACATAATGGTAAAGGGAGCAATCCAACATGAGAATATGACCCTTGCAAACATTTATGCATCAAACACAGGAGCACCTACATATGTCAAGCAAATATTGATGGACATTGAAAAAAGACTGACAGTAATACAGGCACAGTAGGGGACTTTAACACACAGTTCACATAAGTGGATAGATCTTCCAGACCGAAAGTCAACAAGAAATGGCAGCATTAAATGACACACTGAACCAGAGAGACCTGATTGATATTTTCAGAGTACCCCCAAACAGCAGAACATACATTCCTTTCAAGTGCACAGAGAATCGGTATTATTTATAACAGCCAAGGTAAGGGAGCAACCTAAGTGCTCATTAATGAATGACTGAATAAAGAAGATGTGGTAAATATATACTAGGAAATATTACTCAGCCATGAAAAAGAATGGGTATTACCATTTGTGACAGCATGGAAAGCTTAGAGGGTAATATACTAAGTGAAATAAGTCAGTCAGAGAAAAAAAATACCACAGATTTCATTTATATATGGAATCCAAAGAACAAAATAAACAAACAAAATGGAAACAGATTCATAGATGCAGGGAAAAAACCTGATAGTTGCCAGATAAGGGGGAGGTTTAAGAACTGGGTGAAAATGGTGAAGGGATTAAGTACACACTGGTAGCCACAAAACAGTCCCAGATATATAGAATACATCACAGGAAATATTGTCGGTAATACTGTAAACATCATGTATAGTACTGGGTGGGCACTAAACTCATATATAAATTATATAAGTGCTAACCATTACTGCTATATACCTGTTATCTAATACAAAATACTGATACCAACTATAACTGAGAAATTTTTTTTTAAATAAAAGAAATATCCAAGGTGGGTCTGTCTGATCATGACTGGTTCCTAAGAACAAAAGCTCCGCAATTCTAAAATACAGAAACAAAGAAGGAAGGCCACTCCTATGAAGATCACAGAACAGATATGTATAGGGATGAATTATGAGTAACTAATTAATGCATCATCAGATTTAATGTTTACATTTTCTGCCAGAAAGTCTGTGCTGGAATTAGGAGCCATTATTTTTGGGACTGAAATCGGCCTGAAAAAAATACCCTAGGAGCACAAACCAGTCTTCTGACCAGTCCTGCTTTTGTTTAAAAGATTCTATAGCTTGAGACATATCTGGGACCGTTTCCAGGAACAGACACATAATTAGCAGTCACTGACTGCTCACGACCAACAACAATTCTGGTCTCCCAACCTTGGTAATAGATGCAGCAGACACTAACTTGAGGGCAAAAAGGGACATCTCTAATTTTCTACCAATAAAAGTCAAATCCAGGCTTACGTACTTTAAACATTAACTGCAACCTAGAACCACCCTTCGTTATTATAGAAAATAGTCTATCTTATAAAAAATTGAACTGGCCTAAGATGGTGGTTCCCTTTCAAACTTAACAGCCTACTAAATTTTAAGTTATTAGTTCAAGCCACTACACTTGATACCAAAAAGCAAGAAAACAAATGAGCTATGCTCCAGTCCTTGGAATTGAGAAGTCGGTGCATGCATCTGGGAGTGAACATACAGATTTTTCTGGAAGAGAAGGTGGTGTGAATATTTCCAGAATTAAGCTCAACTGGCAATACAATAGACGTGTAAACAGAGCCTTAGAAACATTGAGAGAACTCGGGGCACTTGGAAAGCAGCAACCCAGAAGAGGGGCTGTGTGAGACAGGCTTCAAGGGGCAAAAGCACTTGAGCAGGCAGAGTCCAGGGTGGATATGCGTCAGGGATAGAGGCAAACAGAGATGTGAGACAAAATGACAGTGGGGACCTTCAAGAAATCTGACTGGAGGACAGAAAAGGGTGTTTATGTTGTAAGAACTTCAAATAAATGATGCAGGTAGGTTTATTGAACTTCAATTGTTCCATAATTTCAATAGTTCATCCTACATGCAAGTTTTCAGATAAACCAGAAAAGACATGATGACAAGGATGAAAATAGTTAAAGTGGTCAGTTCACAGGCATCAGCAGTAACCACTAGAGAGTCAACTGCCACGAGAGAGTCAGCCACCCCGGCAAGGCACTGAGCAGCTGGAACGGATGCCTGCCCCGTCCCAGCATCTAGGCCGCCACAGGATGTCAGGAGCATTCATTCTCCATGTTGGAACTGGCGATTAAGGTGCGGGGCCAAGAGAGCAGCAGCTGATGCAGCGTTCAAAGTCCTGAGGAAACTCAAAACCAGCTGAGGTTCCAGCAAATATAAAATATCCCAGACCATGGGGCAAGAGCCAAAGAGTAAAGTATGCAACATTTTCTTTTCAGGAAGAATATTGTTCTACATATAGGCTCCTGCTGAAAAAGTTTATTGATGGACCATGAATTAAGAATATTTCCAGCCCTGGCTGGCGTACCTCAGTGGATTGAGTATGGGCCTGTGGACCAAAGGACTACAGTTCGATTCCCAGTCGGGACACATGCCTGGGTTGCAGGCCAGTTCCCAGCAGGGAACACACAAGAGGCAACCATACACTGATATTTCTCTCCCTCTCTCCTACTCTTTCCCTCTAAAGATAAATAAATAAAAATCTTTTTTAAAAAAAGGAGGTTAATATTTTTTAAATATTAATTTAAATATTTAAATTACCGAGACCACCCGGTAGGCAGGGTGTGGCATGGAGAAAAGAGTCAGGGACCAGGCCACGTGGGAGGAGCCACTGCCTACCGGGCTGCTCCCAGTCACGGGCGGCGTTCCCGTGACTCACCTGCCCTCTCCTAGTGTCCCCACTGGGCGGAGGACATGAAAGCCATTGTTATGGACACTCTCACGGTGACAGGTTAATGAGATCGTGCCCATCAGGACTCTAAATGAGAAAGTGCTGCACAAAAGATTAAACTCAATATTTTCCAGTTGATTTCCTACCCCAACACCTCTGTCTCCTCTAGTGCCCTCCCAGGGGATGGCTGTGAATGCAGCCCAACACAAAATCGTAGATTTACTTAAAACATTATGAGAGTTTTTGTGATTACGTGTCTCAATGTATTTAATGTGTAGCCCAAGACAACTCTTCTTCTTCCAGTGAAGCCCGAAGATGCTGAAAGGTCTGACAGCCCTGAAACACAATCTGATCCATCAGCACATCTGTAAGGCCCCAAAGCACATCTGCCATGCCCCATTCTCCCACCAGCCTTGCTTCTGGTCTGAAGACAACGGTCCTGCAGGCGCCGCCCCCTGGCCTTGCTGCCCCCGCTGCTCTCTCAGACCCTCCCGCCCACACACACAGCCACAGCAGTCCGCTTCCCATGGCCTCCCTTCCTTCTAGGGAGAACCTCACCTCCACCCTGCCAGCCAGGCCCTCCATGGCAGGCCCCTTCGAGACGCCACCTGCCATGAGCAGCCCATGCAGCTGCCAGGACTCCCGGCTGCTCCTTGAACACCAGCAAGCACAGCCCTAACTGGGGGCCCCTCCACCACCTGGCTCCTCTTTCCAGAACAGCCAAGAACTCAGTACTGCTCACTCCCTAGTTTCATTCTCTTCTGCTCCACCACCACTGCCACTGGCGGGCCTTCCTGCCCCACCCTCCATGACAGGCTACATCCTGCCTCATCACTCACACCCTGTCACTCTGCTTTTCTTGTGGTTCCAAGTCCCCAAATCACATCACTTATTTACTTGTTTATTTGTCTGCTAGAATATAACATCACAGGGCAAGGACTTTTCCATTCCCATGAATAATTACATCTGAGTTATCAGCGAAGAGCAGGGGCTCAATTAAAATTTGCCTAAGGAAAAGCACACATAGTTTTCACATCCACTTCAGGTTACGTGTCCCAGAAAACAGCATCATCAATAACTCCAACACCACGAGAAAACTAGACTGTGTGAATGGCCTCAAAGGCTCAACGTACCTTGGAATTCGAGGTGGACTCCAGGAAACAGAGTCTGTTGCCAAAACCTTCGGCTGCCAAACAGAGCTTCTGCTGCTCCTTGTGGGCCGCGGCCGTGCACTGCAGCACCACCTCGTCATCCTGCGGGGACAAGAGGGAACACCGTGAGGCCGAGGGACAGGACAAGTCTGAACCAGATCTACAAGAACACACTGGTGCATTTCAAATACTAGAGAAAAATGCCGGAACAATTACCAAAAAAAAAACCAAACAAACAAAAAACCCACACAATTGATTCACAGAGTGCATTTCCTTATGAAAAAGGAAAGTAACTCGGGAGCAGGGCAGTGAGTGGTTGCTGCCATCCAAGGCAATCAACGGTGTTCTCGCTGTCAACACTGACCCCAGAGGCAGCCTGTGTGTGAAATACGGACTCCCATGGTAGCAGTCCTTCGCAATCTCAGCCATCAAAAGCACCAAGGAATTATCCGACATACTCCTAGGACATTAAGAACCATCCAGAGTGGAACAGACTCTAATAGCCATATGCACACATTATTGCAGAAGTAACACAGGAACACGGGCAGTAACGGGACTCCTGGGTTTGGAGGGACAGAAAAGTCATCTTTGCTACCACACATCGGCACTGATCATAACTGTAATGATCCTGGCTACTCAAAAACATACAGAGAGCCCTGGCCAGGTGGCACAGTGGGCTGGAGCATCATCCTTACACCAAAAGGTTGAAGGTTCAATCCCAGGTCAGGGCACATACAGGAGGCAACCAATCGATGTTTCTCTTTTACATCAACGTTTCTCTGCCTCTGTCCCTTCCTCTCTCTTGAAAATCAATAAACATATCCTCAGGTGAGGATTTAAAAAATGGACAGAGAGATGATTTGCTAGTTCAATCCTCTGAAATCCAGTTTCTGATCAGTTAATTTGGCAGGACTACAGGAAAACTTTAGCAGGGAAGACGGTGGGTGGTGACAGCCCTGGCAGCCTGAGCAGAGATGTTGGGGTCAGCAGCAACTGGACCCCCATCGCCAGGCCTGCTGAGCAGGTCGGGTGACCTCGCCAACACAGACGCTCCAAAACCTGAGGTGACACAATGCACTCTACACGGCGACTGACATGCCCAAGGCACCAAAGGGACACCAAGTGGGAGAGACCACTATCATTTTTTAACAAGCATCTCACTTTAACAGATTCTAAGTAGCAAATTCCTAAAAAGTCGAACCATTTACATTTTGACAGTTCAACCTCTAAGAAACAGGACACTTAACAGAGTAGAGAAAGAACACATATTTCACTGGAATCAGGGGAAAGGGACATAAATGTGCATCCGAGAAGCCCCTCACCATGGTAGCAGAATGGAGGTGATGAGCTGTGATAAATATTTGCAAGCAGAAAGCAAGCCTCTTTGGTTAACCTGAAGAATATATCCATTGGAAAAGTGCAGCTCTAATTTGTATTTGGAGCCCGTATCACGCATTTGCTGTATTTCCTCCAGGGCTGCAGCAGCGCCTGACAGCGAGCTTACAGCAGCTGTCACAGCTGAAGCCAAATCCCTCGGCAATTACCTCCCCCTCTCCCACCAGGTGCCCGGTCATTTCCAGTGCACATTCCATCGTCACGTTAAAAAAGGCATTCAGTTTAAAAATTGCATTATTTTCACATGACGAGTACAACTGAATATTACTTCATGTTCAGCGAGGGTGTAATAAAAAATAATGAGGCTGTTTGTTGCAGCGTGATAACAGAGCTGCTTGTGCCAGCGGGCTCCAGGCCTCACCAGGGCCCAGCCTCCTCTCGTCTCACCTACTGGGACCAAGCGTGCAAACTGCAGTCCTGCTGCCTTCGGATGCCAGAAGCTGGCTAAATACAGTTAGTAATAAACACATTAATGTACTAATTGAAGACACTTTGAGAATAAGAGACTATCTCGCAAGGTACAAAGATAGGGAGACGCACAGTGGTACTCAGGAAGCTTGGAGGAGAGTGAGGGCATGCCATATTTACCAAAACTGCAGCACAGGCCAGTCCTGGATCCATTCATGCAATCCTCACACAGCCCTGTAACACAAAGACTGCCCACACACACAGATGGGAAAGCAAGGCCCAGAGGAACTGGCCACTCACAGAAGGCTGACCACACTTCCTCCCAGGCACTTATCATCAACCTGTTTATATCTATTGGGGTGGCCAAAAAGTTCATGTGATTTTTTTGCATACGATGGCCCTACTAGTGCTTAGTTGTCTAACTTCATTCAAAACAATTTGGTTAGATGGTATCGTGACAGCTGTCACATCAGCATGCATTTAAAAAACAAGTTATCAAAATCAGTGAATTTTTGTGTAGCCATTTTAATACTGAAAATGGAAGAAGTATGTGATATTTTGGCATATTATGTTATATTCCTTCAAGAAAGGTAAAAATGCAACTGAAATGCAAAAAATGATTTGTGCTGTGTATGGAGAATGCGCTGTGACTGATCAAACGTGTCAAAAGTAATTTGCGAAGTTTTGTGCTAGAAATTTCTCACTGCACGGCGCTCTGGGGTCAGGCAGATCAGCTGAAGTTGATAGCAATCAAATCAAGAAATTAACTGAGAACAATCAACATGTTGCCATGCAGGACATAGCTGACATATTCAAAATATCCAATCAGTGAAGTTATTGGTGAAAATGAAAACTACGTCTTATATTTTAGGGAAAAAGTAATACTGACCAATTGGCTAACCCAGCAGATATAATGTCCCGAGCCCTACGCTGCTTTGAGAGGCTCGGCTGGTTTTTACTGTTTGCTGCATGGAGAAGCCTTTCTCCATCACTAACACGCACCCACTACCTGGGGTCTTGCTGAAAAGCAGATTCTGACCTGTGGGTCTTGGGTGGCCCTAAGTCTGCACTTCTAACTTGTACTCAGTATGAGGGAGCCAGAAGGGGGTCAGAGAGCATGTGGACCCCAGGTGAGATGACAGCCGTTTTTTATAAGACTTTGGAGCCATCAACAGAGTAGTGAAATAAGCCCATGGACCTTGGACAGACTGGAAGTGAGAGCATGTGGAGATGGTTCAGATACTGGTGCACACCAACCACGTAAGGGACAGAACAAATGTAATAAAACACTGAACTCCCCTATGAAGTGAATAAGCCAGCTCCCTTGTGCAATGCTCCCCTCAGCCTGTGCCCCCACACTGCCCCCACACTATCATGGCTGCCTGGCTGGGTGGCTTTGGGTTCTGGGGAGAGAGGCCACGGCTGTCACTTAGACAGTGATTTCACAATGGAACCCAGCCTGACGCACTTACCAGCACTTCCAGTTTGTCTGGGAGCTGTTTTTATTGACCTGCCAGTATGAAAAGGGTTCCTTTTACACAGACAATACGCTGACCGGGACTTCCGCCAAGATGGAGGTGTAGGTGGAAGCATTGTGCCTTCTCACACAACCAAGTTTAAAAACAACCAAGTTTTAGCAACAAAAACACAGCCAAACCACAAAAAAATTGAACTATAGGGAAGTCTGACAACAACAAACCCTTCGGCCAAACCAGTAAGAGGGGCAGAGCCAGCAGCAGAGCGGGGTCGGGCAGGAAAGATCCACCGGACCGACCCGGGTGCGTAATCTAGGTGCTCAACCCAGGCGCGCCAGCAGCCATGGGCGGATCCCAGGTGTGGAGTAGCGGGCAGACCCACTGAGGGCTGACCACGGTCACACATTCGCGTGCAGATAAACCGGTGAAGGAGCAAGCGGTGAGACAGACCCTGCAGGCCCCAGTGGCAGGAAGCGGCAGAGGGGACCACCATTGTCCCTCTCTGACCCACCCCCACATACAGCATCACAAGCCAGCGACCTGAGTGGCCCCGCCCTGGTGAACACCTATAGCGCCTCTCCTCATGTGTAACAGGCACGAACAGATCAAAACATGGCTCAAGAACAACTCGAGCCCCAGATCCGATAAATCTAAGTGATAAAGAAATAGCCAAACTTTCAAATGCACAGTTCAAAACACTGGCGATCAGGATGCTCACAGAACTGGTTGATTTTAGTCACAAATTAGAGGAACATATGAAGGCTAAACTAATTGAAATGAATGGAAATGCATAGGAAACCAATAGTAATGGAAAGGAAACTGGGACTCAAATCAAAGGAGTGGATCAGAAAGAGGAAAAAAATGACCAAACAGAAAAATATGAAGAAACAAGAATTCAAAAAAATGAGGAGAGGCTTAGGAACCTTCAGGATATCTTTAAACGTTCCAACATCCAAATTATAGGGGTACCAGAAGGGGAAAGGAACAGCCACCAGTGTAAAACTTACTTGAACAAATAACAAAAAAGAACTTCCCCAATCTGGCAAAGGAAATAGACTTCCAGGAAATCCAGGAAGCACAGAGAGTCCCAAAGAAGTTGGACCCAATAAGGAACACACCAAGGCACATCATAATTACATTAGCCAAGATTCAAATGAAGTAGAGAATCCTACAAGCAGCAAGAGATAAGGGGACAGTCACCTACAAAGGAGTTCCCATCAGACTGTCAGCTGATTTCTCAAAAGAGACCTTACAGGCAAGAATGGGCTGGAAAGAAGTATTCCAAGTCATGAAATCCAAGACCTACATCCAAGATTGCTCTATCCAGCAAAGCTTTCATTTAGAATAGAAGGACTGATAAAGTACTTCTCAGATAAGATCAAATTCAAGGAGTTCATCATCACCAAGCCCTTATTATATGAAATGTTAAAGGGACTTACCTAAGAAAAAGAAGATAAAAAATCTGAAGAGTGAGGGCCCTGGCTGGTGTAGCTCAGTGGATTGAGCACGGGCCTGTGAACCACATGATCGCGGTTCGATTCCCAGTCAGGGTACATGCCTGGGTTGCAGGCCAGTTCCCAGCAGGGGACTCATGAGAGGCAACCATACATTGATATTTCTCTCCTTCTCTCCTTCCCTTCCCCTCTAAATATAAATAAATAAAATCTTTTAAAAAAATATGAAGAGTGAAAGGACAGCAAACTCACAGTTATTAAGAACCACATCTGAAACAAAAGCAAACTAAGAGGACAGCTAGATCAGGAGCAGAACCATAGAAATGAAGATCACATGGAGGGTTAGCAACAGGGGAGTGGGAGAAGGAGA